GGGCTGGCGCTGCAGCTGTCGTGGGAACAGGCCAAAAATAGCCTGTTCCTAAAACCCTGGTTTGGTGCCTGAGTTTCGGGGCAGGTCGGTCTGATAAGGGCCCAAAAATGGCCCTCAGTTTCAGACTAAAAAGGCTCATGCCGTTTTTAGTCTGAACCGACACAGGGCCTGTAGGCCCCTGTTTCCAGCTTTTCGAGCTGAACAGACACGGGGCCTGTAGGCCCTAAATTTCAGGCTTTCGGCCTGAAATTCAAGCTTTTAGCCTGAAGGACGCAGGGCCTGGAAAATGACCCTCGTGTGCAGGCGCAGCATGTAACCCCCCCCCCTCCTTATGAAGTCAAGCCGGGGCGAGGGCGAAGCTGACGATCTGAAGGTGGAACCTAGACGCGGGCGCGGCATGGAGCCGAAGAGACCGGCTTGCCTTGCATCTTGCGTTCATAGCATGCGAGAACATCTGGAGTTGTTGCTTGAAGTTCCGCACGGGTCAACCAACGGTCATCTCGATGTGTGCAGTATGCAAAATGTACCAAGTACTCGGTTGGCCTGTTGCCGTAGTGTCGCTGGGAGATGATGTCGCCAACCTCCTGAAAATCGTCCATAGAGGGTGGGTCTTGCGAACGTCTCCAGGGAAAATCGTCATGTTCCGCTGGCGTGTAAAGAGCCAACTTGGAGCAATGAAAGACTGGGTAGACGGACAAGTGGGCGGGCACCTGAATAGTGAAGAAAGGTCCCTTGGGTGCATCCCCAGCGGGTGCCATGATCGGCCAAGGCCCCATCCATATCGGGAGGAGCTTGCGAGAGATATCTTGTTCAAGGCTGAATTCCGCGACGGAGACCCAAACGAGATCGCCGGCACGGAATGGGCAAGGAAGACGCTGGCGATTGGCCTGTTGGCTCATGCGTTGCTGCGTCTTGGCCATCTGGTCGCGTGCCTTGACAAGTAGCTCTTGCATCCGACACAAGAAAAGAAGATGGTCGTCGCTCTTGGCCGTTCGTGGAGTGATGGTGTCCAACAGCGAAGTTACTGGCGAGCCGTGCTCGAACTCAAAGGGCGATATCCCGATAGTCGGGTGGATGGAGGAGTTGTAGGCCAACTCGACATCCGGCAGCCGCTCAACCCAATCCTTCAGGTCAGGATGGATGAGAGTGCGAAGGAGAACCTGTGCGGTCTGGTGCCCCCTCTCCGTTTGGCCATCGGTCTGGGGGTGGCGAGGTGAACTGGGCTTGAGAGATAAGCCCCATCACTTGATGAGCGCCAACCAAAAGTCGGATATGAACCGACTGTCGCGGTCGCAGACGATTTCCTTGGGGTAACCCTTGGTTCGAATCCAACCGGCGTAAAGAACCTCGGCCAACTCCGGTGCCTTGGCATGATAGCGGCAAGGCAAAAACATGGCAAACTTGGTGAGTCGATCGACCACCGTGAGAATCCCATCCACGCCGGTCTTGTGCTTGGGGAACGGGCCGGTAATGTCCATGACAATCGCTTCCCTTCGCCTCAAAGGGACTGGTAATGGTCGTAACTCGCCGTACGGACGATGGTTGCGGGATTTGCAGCGTCGGCAAACCTCGCATGACTCGCAATAGCGTGTGACGTTGCCGAGAAGGCCGGGCCACCAAAATCGCTCGTGAAGTCGGCCAATGGTGCGATTGACTCCAACGTGTCCGGTGGCGGGAGCATCGTGGAACCCGCCAAGAAGCCGTGTACGCAAGTGTGTGACACGCAACCTCACGCCCTGTGCTGTCTTCCGTTCGGAGTATTAAGGGTGCGGAAAAAGGCCCTGAAAAACAGCAAGATGGGGTGTGCCAAGGATTTTTGGGAAATTGAGTATGGGGACACAGACAGAACTGAAATCCCCCGTGTTGGTCTGATGAAGTAAGAGTGGTCTGATGAAGTAAGAGAACCGGCCGGTTGCAACGTGGGTTACGAAGAAGCGCGCGCGGGATTCGCGACGCGGGGAAGTTCGAATTCAATCCAGAAAATACTGTCGAACCTCCCACCGAGCCACGACTCTTCGTTTGGAGTGAAAGGGAGCGGGCACGTACTTAGTATCCCGTTTTCGGACTAACTCCCGACACCGCACGTTGCACAATTCCGAATCTGACGTAGACGGCCTTAATCGCGTGGCCCTTTCCTTATGCTCGTCCTCACTCCGTACTCGGTAGTGGAAGCCCTTTGATTGGTAGTGATCGAAGCGTTGGCAATCACTACACAGAGTTCTAGGCCAATGGGGCGCCACTGCCGACCACGGGATGACGATCAACTCGTTAAACGGTAATCGCAACGAATATGGCAGAAAATGCGTATCGATAATGACAAACCCAGCATCGACAAACCCAGAGCACCGATTTTCCGGAGGGAAGTAATATCGCCCACCGATCTTTGCTACGACTTCTCGTACGTCCCACTCACACACACGCGTCCTTTCCTCGTTATACGGGAAGGGGCGAGGTGGGGATACTGGAGGCCGGCGCCTAGTCGGGTTGAGCCCGTCAGTCCACATGGCAATCAATCAGGCGCCAAAGATATCCTCAATCATTCACCGTAGGCCCATAATCGATACCAGTCAAAAAACACACAACCTATCGATCCAATCAAAAAGGCAGAATCAAAAACTCCTAAAAACGAAGAAGGAAAGTTCAGAGAGAGATAAAAACTCGTGTGTGGTGAGACGCGGCCACTGTTCACGTGTACCGATCGCATATGGCTTTGGAGTCCCTCATTATTCTACAAGGTATGTTGTATATGTTGTGAAGCATAAGGCAGATGGCATGGGCATCGTGTCCCGAACGGCAGCTCCCGGGGTACTCTTACGTAATCACAACATCAACAGATCTAAACGCTCTTGCATTCTCGAACAAAATCCCAACAACACTGCCCCTGATCCTTCCGGACAGTATCCTAATCAAGACGAGTTTCGTGCTCGATCTTTTCCATTCCATACATACATTCATTGTGTAAGGTGCGAAAACGGCAGACATGCAATACCCCTGCCCTGTCGTGTCAAGGGCAAGTAATCACAATCCCTTTAGATCGTTGATGGTCGCTACACGCGCATCCACCGTTCACAAGACAAGACGATCAATTCTCAGTAGGTTTGGCGATTACCCAGGAAACTAATGGAAGAGTTCCGGAAGTAGTTCTTCCGAGCACACATTCACATATGCTCATTCCATCACAAGCAAAAGATTGACTCATCATGCATAGTTATTCATATCAGCGAGAGAAGAGAAGGAGGGAGGAAGAGACAGGCGAGAATATCAAGCCAGGAAGGAAGAGTTACACTGAGATCGGGAAATGCAAAGAAGGTCTGGCTTTACCGCCGTGAGCTCACACCAAAGAATGGATTCGCAACAAGGGGGGGCGTACTCGCCACCAAATTCCAACATGGCCCCGGGCCAGTCATCCACTCAACTCGGATCACTCATCCTCATTCATGCACCGACGATCCCGGCTGTCGCGTATCACCATCCACCATTGCGATTGTCACCCCGCCAACTTAGCCTCGACGTGGCTTGCCCGGATCCCACAGTCTGTCGTGGCGATCTAGCGCACAGCCAGCCAGTCTACAGTCAGCCCGTCAGGACTTTCCGACTCGCACTATACACATCATCTAGCCACTACATCCCGAAAGTTGGCTGACGAGTTGAGAGAGAGATTTGCGGATGCGCCGACGGAATTTATAGTTGCGAGAAGGGAGAGAGATGCGGGGAAAGATGAAGAGTAGGGTAGAGGAGGGTAAGGGAGGGCTTGAGAGTAATCGCCTGTTGAAAGCCATGTTGATCCCTCACAACTCTATCTCAACCAATCAGAATCGTCGCGCAGTAGGAATCTCCTCTTACACGACGATTCTCCTTGGCTAGATGGGAAGACAGGATCGACCGGGTTTTTCGAGCGCGGGTCTTAGAGCGGGAAGAAGAGGAGTGCGAAGGATAGCGCGAAACGGGTCCAAGATTCAGATGATCAAGAAAGAGAAAAAGGGCGCGCGCGGGGAAGGAGAGAGAAAAATAGTTACAGGTGGAGGGAGCGAGAAAGCATGTTCGCGCAAGGTAAGGCGCTGAGAGGGGCGCAAGAAGGAAGGAGGAGGGAGCTCGTTTGCATGACGCCGAACAGTAAAAGAAGAATGGGCACCGAAACAGTTGCAGTTTTTCTCAATCCTACGCTAATTCAAAAATTGAAATCACCATATCCGCGCGAAAAGTAGACGCGGGAAAAGAAAGAAAGTCCTACGCTTATCCATATTCCTACAAAATTCCCAGAGTCTTCCATGTCGAGGCCGAGAACATTCGCGCGAGTCGCGCCGCGTTCCGTTGATTCCGGAATTCCTAACTGTCGAGCCAAATTCCGAGCGCGCTCACTAATGCGCGCGAAATTCCCATGCATTTTCAAATTAAAAGAAATGACAGAATTTCAAAAACTTCTATACAGATTTCAACGAAGTACCTTAAAATCGAACAAAAACAGAGGGAGGGGGGGCGACGTTCTCGGAGGCCGATCAAGACACATCTAGATGCAGAGAAAATACGGGGAGGGAAGGGGTCTGAAAGATGGCGCAGGTCCGGAAGCTGGTTCGTCACAAGTGCGGATCACTCGGTACGCAAAGAAGGTCCTTCCCCCGYGTGTGGACAAGCAAGTACCCCTCTTGGATCCGGTAGTGAGAAGGCGCCGAATTAGGAGAGGAGCAATTCGCGTATTTGTCGCGAAACTCGGGGTCGGATTGGTAGCCGCGGATGAAGCTGTTCCGCATATCGTCGTCGATCTCGAAGGTTGAGTAGACCGCGGTACAATGATACGGACACCGTGAAAGAGCGTTCGCAAAACGGTTCGACTTCCCGGGAATGTGATCGGGAAAGAAGTCGAATTGGTCGATGAAAGCCATCCATCGAGCGATGGTGTTGTTGACGGTGTCTTGGGTCTTATAGAAGACAAACGGATTGTTGTCCGTTACCCATCGGAATTGGCTTCGACCAAGGAGGAAGTGCCACCACCGCTTGAGCGGGTGGACGAAGGCGAGGAGCTCCTTCTTGCATGCATCGTTAATGGAATGCACGACGGGCACTTTCTTGCTGAAATACTCCACCAGGTGCCAGTCCACACCATCATGTTGCTCGAGGACGGCACCAATGCCATAGCCGGACGCATCCGTAGTGAAGCGCGTAGGCAAAAGCGGGTCATATATGAGCAGGACCTCCGCAGATAATAGCGCGGCTTTGAGAGCCAAAAATGATTCCCGCGCCTCCTCTCCGAAGTCAAACGGCCGATCCTCGCATTGTAGCTTGGTCAAGTGGGTCGCGATCTTCGAGTAGCCTTTGATGAAATGCTGATAGTAGCCAGCGAGGCCAAGGAACGAACGGACATCCGTGACGTTCGGAGGCTCCGACCACTCTTGGATGGTTTGAATCTTGTCCGATAGCGGACTGATGCCCTCCGGTGTGACAAAATGGCCCAAGTATTCCAGCTCTTGCCGGACAAATTCGCACTTGTCGGGGTTGGCCTTGTACTTGGCTGGGCGGAGCGTCTCCAACACTCGTCGAAGATGGCCAAGATGATCCTCGAATGTCCGACTATAGACGAGAATATCGTCTAAGTAGACCAACACGAACCGGTCCAACATTGCACGGAACTCGTTGGTCATTGCCGCTTGAAAGGTCGCCGGGGCGTTGGTGAGGCCAAAAGGCATGACCACGCACTCGAGATGCCCGTACCCCGTCTTGAATGTGGATTTGTAGTGATCGTTCATCCGGATCAAGATTTAATGATATCCCGACTTCAAATCCAACTTAGAAAAATACTTTGCGCCGCCCAATCACTCAAGAAGATCGTCGATGCGAGGAAGAGGCCCCGCATTCTTGACGGTTTGCGCGTTGAGCTTGCGGTAGTCGATACACAATCGTAGATCCTTGTTCTTCTTCCGGACAAAGAGAACTGGTGCTCCATATGGGGAGCTACTAGGGCGGATCCAACCCTTGGCCAACAAGTCGTCGAGTTGTGCGCGGAGGACGTCAAGCTCCTCCTCGCTCATCCGATAGATGCAACCTTTCAGCAGCACGACACCGGCCTCAAGAATGATCTCGTGAGAGATCGACCGATCTGGCACCACATCGGTAGGTGACTCGAAGATGTCGGCGAACTCGTCCAGCAACCGCACCACGCGGGGGTCCGAAGACAAGTCTGTGGGTGAAGAGTCGGCTACCGCAACGGTCCGTAGGAAACATAGGTCGATTTCCTTGGGCTGCTCGTAAGCGCAAGTCGCCCGGAATGATTTGGCCGTCACTACTTGGCACCGAATCGAAGGGTGCGGAAGAGGAATAGTACACGCCACTTCGGCGCCGAAGGCGTCGGGAACGCTAAGAGTCCGCCGGTGGAAGTTAACCGTGTGATCCGCACTTGCAAGCCAAGGCATTCCCAGAATGATGTCGAAGTCCGTGTCCAAAATGTCGAACGTCACCGGTTCGCATGCATGAGGTGCGAAATACACCGGTACGGCTTCGATGTAACGGTCGAGGAGTTACTGTGTCTTTCCATCCGCCAACTTGATCGCCGTCGGGTTTGCCTTCCTCTGAACTTGTGCGCCAAGGCCAGCCCTTTGCATAAATGCTTGGCTCATGAAATTGCGAGACGCGCCGCTATCCAGCAAAGCGTTGCAGGACGCTTGCCCAACCTGGATGCGGACATACATGACCGGTGCGTTGTTGTCATCGTACGGCTGCGTGCAAAACTCGCGGGCAACCTTGGTAACATACACAAGGATGTCCCCCACCGCGACTTCGTCATCCGTCGACGAAGTTGGTGGTGCATAGAAGGATAAGTACGTGTCAAGATGAGCGCATAGTGCTGCACATTGCGGTCCCGGCAAGCAGCCCGTGGTCGGGAGAGGAAGCCATGCAAAGTCCTCAGACGTGAGCGAGTCCAATACCTTTATGTTAAACTCGCGCGCCGAATCCCGTGAAGAACCACGTGAAGACGATAAGTCGCCGCTGACGGACGGAGAAGATGCCGCACACACGTCTTGTCCTTGAGCTTGAGTACCCAGCATAGGAACGAGTCGGGCAGCATAGTCCTCAAAAGAATAAAGAAGAGGAGGACTATCGACTTCTGCATGTGCCTTGGAACGAAGGGCGGTCACCCACGAAGCGACCGGTTCCGAAGGCGTCGAGAGTGTCATTGAGTCACTCCCAGCGACTCTCAGTTTCCCGATTTGCCCTTGCCTTTCGACGGGCAGGCCATTGTCTCATGGAGATCGTTGTTGCACCATAGGCAATAGTGAAATCTCGTGAGTGCTTTGTACGCCGTTTCAAAGAGACCGTATTGGGACCATGGGGTTGGAGCTGCTGCGCCGGGCCCGGGGCTAGATGAGGTGTTTGTCTTCGTCTTGCCGCATTCTCTGCCTTTGCTGGGGCGGCCACCTTCCCGGTCGGCTGCGAGTCTGTCCCCTTCATTGGCAGACACGGCGTCACTAGTTTGGTGTTGCCGCCGCGACCACGGCCACTCTTGGCCGATGCTGGTCTCTGCTCGGGCTTGGAGCAGACGAACGCAGGTTCTTAGCCTCCTTGTTCATGATGATAATCTGCGCGGCCTTGTCAAAGAGTTCCGCTGTTGTCGTCAAGGTGTCCTCGACGTGAGTGAGGGCATTGCTTAATGCCGGACACAACCTTGAGATGAAATAGTGGCGGATGGCTTTGAAGCCCATCTGGATGTCTGGGACGGATGTCAAGCGTTGGTACTAGGCAATCCAGTCGACACTCGACAGTGTGCCTTGTTCGAAGACCATTAGCTTGTCCATTGCCTTGATCTCCAACGGCTCTACTTGGAACCGCTTGTGCCACGCCGCCTTCAGATCATCCCAGCTGATCTTGGTATGCACGTCGGCTGCTACCACTCCGTACTTGGACAAGTGCTTGTCCAACCATGCCTGGCACGCGCCCCCCGACCGGGAGTATAAGTACGCGTGGTGCTTGTGTTCTTTGACGTAGTGTAGTTGCAGCGTGAGCTCGAACTTGCGGAACCATGGAATCGGATCTGTCTTCGTCGAGTCGCAGAAGATCTTCTGCCCGTCAAACTTTGGAGTTGTCTCGCGCGGTTCCGAACTCGAGTTGTTGGCGGTAGTACAGATCCGCTGCTCCAACTGTTGCGTTGTGGTCTGCTGTAACTGCACGCCGTCCTTGAGGGAGCCGACGTCCATCTCCAATGCTTCGAGGCGATCAGAGGTGTTGGAAGAGCTGGCATCGGGGGCGGCGACAGGTCACTGCTCCAGCTGCCGGAGGCGGCCATGGACTTGAGTCAGCGCGTCGTCGAGGTTGTGGATGTCCTCCTGCTGTGTAATGCATGTTGCCAGGAGGTCCGTGAGATGGGAGAGGAGTAGAGCGATCTTGTTTTTACTATCCTCCATCTTGCCATTCTCGGCCTCGGCCCGCCAATCCGCTGCCATTGTGAGCAAAGTTTGTTCTCCGCTAAATATCTTCTCCCGCCGTTGAACTCGTTCTTCATCAGCAGCCTTTGTTGTTGCCTCGTCGTGCTGGCGCTGCTGTTCAATTGCCAGCAGACGTGCCTGCTCGGCGTCCTCGGCCTTCTTCTTCGCTGCGACATCCGCCCGTCTCTTGGTTTTGGTACTCCAGGCCAGCATCCGGGCCTGATAGGCCTCATCTGTTTCTACGGACCTCTGGTCCATGACGGCTGTTTGTGAACGCAACAGCATAGACCAGGCCGGGGGCCTGCTAATGTGGTATTCCCTGCTGCTGACGTGGCACTGTTGTCGGCTGACATCGCCTGCTGACGTGTCCTGCTGACATGTTCCGCTGACATGGCCTGCTGACATGGCAACTAACCAATGCCGCCGCAGGGGGTACCCGGAGACAGGTAGAGAAGGTAAGACTAGAGGGGGCAACAACATAGGTGGGGAGGGTGGGTGGGAAAAATCGCCCAGATAAGGAGTCACTAATCAAAAAAGAAAAGTTTGAACTTTGCAAAAAAAAATTCGAGAAAAATAGAAATCCCGAGTTTTGCAAGTTCAGTAGGTCTCCCAACCTCCCTTGAAGTGCAAAAGTATCAATGAGAACAACTTTTCGAACTTCAAACTGCCAATTATTATAGAACTGTGACTAACAGAATCCTAGAGCTGCGAAAAAAGAATTTCCGAAAAGAAATGACGAGTATTCGGACTTACTCAGAGAGTATTCGCAGTTTGGAAACTGGTACTACAAGAGGGATTTCCCGTACCGTTTTCAGAAAAACGAATTTCGGATAAAATATTCTGAATTTCGAAATAACGGGAAATGCAACAGGAAATCAAAATTTTTGAGAAAAGGATATTCCGGATTTCCAACGACGAAATTTCGGATTTTCAGAAGAAAAACGAAACGGAACTTTCAGATGTTGCGCTATTGCGATTTTCCACAACAGAAATAGTGAGAAAACGAAATCCAAGAAAAAGGGAAAAAAATTCGATTTTTGGCAGTGAGGTCAAAATCGTGATTTTGGGGGCTAACTAGTGTGCTCTAATCAATCAATCAAGACTAATCAGCTACCTAGTCCCCGCACACGTGTCAGATCAGGTTGTCCTGATTCACGTGCGGTGTTCCGATACCAACTGTTACATGCCCAGTCGGGCGATGTACACAATAACCGAGGATCCGCAATGTGATAAAAAGGACTGAATGGATAATGCAGTGCAAGTAGAATCTCGACAAGCAATGTGCATTCTGATACATACAAAATGGTGCTGAATAGCACAGGGAAGACTTAGACACAAATCCTGACCTGACCGGGTCTGACCTCATTCACGTAGTACAAGGTAGCGAAGCAGAACGCTAGAATGCTAATGACTAGCATCGTGTCCATCACAAGGTGTGAAGGAGCCTGGCGCTATACACAGGAAGGAAGCGCCAGGTCCAGACATACACAGATGAAGAGGAGGGGATCAGACGAGGAAGAGGGGGAGAGATGGGAATGTCATCAATACCAAGTCTTTGTCACAAGTCCCAAATAATCCCTCGTCGAAATGTCTGAAGCCCAAAAGTCGAGTCTGAATCCAATGTCACCAAGCTCTCTCTCTCTCTCTTTCTCTCGTAGACTGCTGATGCAGTGAAGTCAGATAATGAGAGGGTGAGAGGGAGATGGTGGACTGAGAAGAGGAAGAAGAAGAACTCTCTCTCTCTCTCA